TCTCTTGTCTGAATCTATTTTTACTGCTTCTCTCTTCTTCATCAGTCAACAGCTTCCCTGGCTCGCTCTTCCCTTGCTTCTCTCCCTGTATCAAAGAGCATAACTTTTTACTGTATGCATGAGATTAGATGCTGGTTTGACCTGGAGATCTGTCTCCAAAGAAGATTTAAAGGCATTCTTTCAAAAGGTTACGAATGTAGGCTGTGCATACAAGCCCAGTATGTCTGACTTCTTAGATGTATTCAGGTCTCACAGCATGCAGGGTTGAAGTTCCAGGAACAATGAGGAATTGCTTACTCTAGAGTAATATTAATGCACACTTTCATGCATCTGTCACTGGAATATTTCAGATTTCTCTGACAGGACAAGATTCTCACAGCACACTGATATGGTGGTAAATATTGATACGTCATTTTTGATCAGACAAATGAGAACACAGGTTGACATTAAGGAACTAAGGTCACTTCGACATCGTCTACACTAGATAATTGAATTGACTGTATTAAATGAACCCTTGAGCGTATCACCAGCAATTATCGCATGGAGCGTTAAGACCAGTTCCAGATTTCCACTGCAATGACAAGAGTGCTGATTTCTCTCAGTTACTAGGTTTTCTGGCTTCCTGTCTGGCAAACAGTGATGCACACGTTGTGCATGACAAGAGCATAATGGATGAGATGCATGAAATTTTGACAACCCACTTCTGGAACATGCTTTCTTTTAGGAATTTTGCTGCGTAGTTCCAGAAACAATGTTGAAATAATGGACTGAATTCTCACCTAACCAAATCTGGCCTAGCTCCACTGATAAACTAAGAGGTGGCAATTGAAATCTTATAGTGGTGAGTGTATTTTTATCTGGTATGGAAATGGACCATGAAAATCACAGTAACAGGATACCAGAGAACTCAAGGATTCAGACTGACAAAATACCAAGAAGAGCCATAATTAATGGCAGCAATAATGTTTTGCTCCTTACCCAATCACTGTAATAAAAAGGAACCACACAGTAGCCGTATTTACTAAATATCTAACACAGAGACTCATTCACAATTGCATTGATGGGTTTCTGAAACAGATAAAACACTGAGCGCTAATGCACTCTGTTACGCGGCTTACAAGGGACTAAACCTCAGGATTCAGAATTAAGCTAACACTCAACAGGGATAAAAGCAACATTTCTTGTTGAGGTAAGGCTTGAGAAGCAGTGAAGGTTTCAACGAGGTTTCCAGCACCTGCAGGCAAACCTGTGAGGGAGTGGAGCTTAAGCTGACCTCCCTCCTCCATCCAGTCCTGTGTACTGTTCCATGTGGGAGCTCCTGCAGAGGGACCCTTCTCCTCCCCCGGCGCTCACTGGGAGCTGTCGGGAAAAGACATCTCTCCTTTGATATCTCAGTGTGATCGACCCTCCAAATAGCCCTCACCGTTCTGAATGAAGTGCAAAATGCACATCATTCATTGCCTCCAATTTGTTTCAGGCTCCCCCTTCACTCCTTCCCTTTTCCCCTAACTCAGACAAACAGCAGAGTAGAAAAGTGAAGTAATTTATTTTCATTCATTTTGTAGGAAGAGAAAGAGAAAGTGGTCATTTCTTTTTAAAATATTTGGAAAACATTATGAAATTAAAATAAACACGGTCATATTAAACCTTTTTTTTTTTGCACAGGTAAACCCAGCAGTAAACTTTAAAAAAATCCTAGATTTCGGACTGGCACAGTTTGTGACCCTCACTTTAACTACAGTATTGAGAGAAAAGACTCTTTCAAATTGGATCTGTATAGAAGGTGAAGATGCACTTCTGAAAAGCAATTAAACCTTTATTCACTTCACTTCCTCAGTATTCACTTCTGTTGGCTGAAGGAGACACTTAATAGCTCTGTTTGAAACAACTTTCTGTCTCTGCCATCCTACAGGGTGATTGCATCCACACACGGATGCTTTCTGCAACAGCTTCAGCGCTGTTTCTTACTTAACTCCCTGCTTTATCCTGGCACCTATTTATTTATTAAAGCCACAAAGTGATTCCGCCTCCGGAGCTGGCATTTGCTGCTTACCCGCCCCCAAGGAGTTAACTGGTTTTATTGCATAATCTGTTTAACATTCTGGATGAATAGGAAATGAACCCCCCCCCCACCTCGTACAATATGTTTGTGCACTTTAAATTGCAGTTCGTTGCGGCTGCGTGCGAGCCCCACGCCGCCTGACATGCCGTGACTCTGCGTGTATGTTTGGGTGTCTGCATGCATGCGTGCAGGCAACTTGCCTCGTTGCAGCTCTGCTTATGCTACTGTGATTGCGTGTGTGTGTGCGTGTAGGAGAAGAGAGCAGAGAGAGAAGGCGAGAGAGCCTGCACGGTTACGTTTGTAGGAAGTACCGGCAGCAGTTGCAAAGTGTGAAAGCAAACTCTGCCACCTCTTGGATCACTCCGAGTGGACAGACCACCCCCCATAATGCCAACTTTCGATGAGGTTTTAAAAGAAGCTGGGGAATTTGGAAGATTCCAAAAGCGAGTCTTTTTCCTCCTTTGCCAGACAGGCATAACTTTTTCCTTCCTGTTTGCTAGTGTGGTTTTTCTTGGGCAGGCACCAGAGAATTATTGGTGCAGGATCCCTGGGGCAGCTGAGCTGAGCGAAAGATGCAGATGGACGCTCGAAGAGGAACGCAACTTTACGGTGCTGCCCCTGCAGCTGGCGAACGGGTCGTCGAGGGGGCAGTGCGAGAGGCTGGACACGGCATGGGACACCTCCACCAGCTGCGCCAACTTCCTCGCCCACTACGGCAACCGCAGCGCCGGCAGCCTGCCGCTGACCGCATGCCGCGATAACTGGGTGTATGAGCAGCCCCACTCGTCCGTCGTCAGCGAGGTAAGGAGAATGCCTGTCTCTGATCAGCGGCTGGCATGGGATTGTGACAGTAAAATGGGATTGCCACTGCAGGACACAGGGAAGAGTCATTGCTTTGGTGACTGTTTTGTCTTACCTAATGTATTGCTTTCCATGCCCCAGCAAATTGGGAGAATGACTGTGACTAAGTGTCAGCATCAAACTTTTAGGGAAAGGTGAGCTAATCTGCAGGATGCCCGATTTATACTGCCTCTCCCAAACCGAACACCCCAAGCAGAGATGGCTCCGTTGCTAGAGGAACGTCGAGATAAAATAGAGAGTCCTTGCAACTGATGCTTCTGGTGACCAGTTAGGGCCAGCGACTTTGGGGGTGCAAATCAGCTGACCACCCCAAATGTTACTGGTTGGCACCACTTGATGATCTGGATGAGCTGTGTATGTGTTAACACGTTCTTTTTGTTTACAGTAGTAACCATTTAGACCTGCAGGTAACAAAGAACCGATGGCTGACTGCCCCCTGACTTCTGAGAGGAGACAGTAGAGAGAGTTGTGCTTTCTAAAGAAAAAAACCCACACATTTTTCTCCAAAGTTGCCATTCATCTGTCCCTGAAATGCCATAGTTAGGGAACTGCAGGCTGGCTGTTACTGCTAGTGGTAAGCGCTGGCAAATGTCGTGGCTTTTTATTAGGCTGCTAAAGGCCATTTAAAACGCTTTCCTAGGAGATCCTCTGTGTAATCTGTAATCATGCAGTGGATGTGCTGTGGTCTGGCTCCAACACACAGTCTGCCCTCTAAAAGCGTGTATTTTAAGGTCATCCTGACAATAACTGTCTTCAACACAGTGCTGTAAGTGCATTTAGAGAGATGAGGTAGCAAATAATCAAGGAGTACTGCAAAATGTGTCAAAGCAATTGTGTGCTCTGGCTCCTGCTTGTCCCATGAGCATCCCACCGTGGGTTTTGACTAGGTGCTTGAGTTGGAGCTGTGCCCTCTGAAATTGCAGATGAGGGCACAGCACGCAAAGCCCTGAGCAAACACCGAACAGAAAGTGGTGCCTGTCCTGACCTTTCAGCTCACCTTTCTTCCCCATCCAGCCGGGACTCCTGGATCTGCTCAGAGGTTTCAGGGTCTTTGGAGCAGGAGCTTTGTGCCCTGAGCACTGCACTCATACTGAGCAGCTTTCGCCGGGGTTTATGCTTGTGAAAAGAGAAATAAGAGCAATCAACTGGTCCTAGAGCAAAGCTTTGGAACTGATTTTGTGTAAAATCACTGAAATGGAGGCTGCTCTGATGGCTGTGAGCGATACACAGGGAGTGGGTGTCAAACTTTGGTCCCTGGGAATGACGTATCTCTACCTCTGTTGGTTGTCGCAGCCAGGGGCTAGATGGGCTGGGAAAATTAACACTGCTCAGGAGCTGCAGCCTGGCTCAGGAGTGAACCACAGGAACAGGCAGCAGCAGGAAGATTACCCTGCTGCTGCTGGTGTAATTTTGGTGGAAAGTTCAGAAGATATTGGTCATGGTATCTTTCATCCCTGGTATATCTGTGCTAGCCATTCCCCTCAGAGATTAAAAATGAAAATAAGGAGATTCCATTTCTTTTCTTATTCCATTTGTTATTTTTAGCTCTTTAGCCTTGCTGTAGCTGAACCCAAGTAAGCTTTGTCCAGAAAATTGTGCTCAGAGTCCATTTATGGCAGCAGCTTGTGTATCTAGTGAAGCCACTCTGATTTTCTGGCAGCACTGAGCCACAGGATACAGTTCACAGAAAATGAAACCAGTGTTTGCGTTACAGCAATAAATAGGAGTGAAAGGTTGGACGTTTTTCTGGTGAACACCTTGTCAAGCTGCACCTTGTTTGAAGATCTGATTTAATTGAGTCATGATTTGTTAGAGCCTCAGGTGAACGAGAGGAAACTAGATTAAATCGTCTTTGCTGGGTGTACAATGTGTTAATGCATGTTCCCCACATGTCCTGGGAAAAAACTCCAGGGCCGTGGAGGGGAGAAGGGATCAAGGGATACCCGAGGAAGCACCTGTGCTCCCAAAGGCATACATTGCCAAAGCCAAAAAGTAATGGCCTGCGAGCAGCGCTGTCTTTCCCCCGTGCCAAGCAGCAGGTCCCATCCTCAGTGCCACCGCCGTACCTAGCGAGGCTCTGGCTGGCAGGGGGCAGCACGTGTCGGGCTGGCAGGGCGCTGGACTGCAACCCGTGGCCCTTGCCTTCTGTCCCCAGTTTTGTACCTTGCTTGCCAGATAGACCACATCCCATGGAGGCTTGGTGTCTCCATGTGAAAAGGAAGCAAATGGCACACGCAGCCTCACTCAATTGCTTTGAGATCAGGTAATAAAAGGAGCTCAATAGTTTCCTCTCATTCACCTGAGGCTCTAACAAATCATGACTCAGTTAAAGCAGATATGTGCTCTGTTTAATCAGATCACCAAACATGTCTTTTCCTTTTCTCAAGTGCCTACTTGCAAATGCTTCATTTTGTGTGTGTGTGTGTGCGTGCGTGTGAAGAAACACGCTTTGTTTCTTTCAACTTCTGGCACTTTGTGTCTGGCCGAATCACCAGTGGAAAAGGCCACAGAGATGAAGTCAAAAGGATGAGTTATATGATAATCTGAAGAACACATGTTCAGGATGAGAGAGAAAGAAAAGTCAGAGATGTTGAAGGAGTTCTTGCAGGCTTATGGTAAACACAGAACTGGTGTGGATTTGCTGCGTGGAGGGGGAGGAATCAGGCAAATACAAGCATGTAAAGCCTTTGCTAAGCCAAGATGCCATCTCACAGAGCAGGTCTGGCAGCTTAGCCTCAAGATATTGCAATCATTTCTGAGTACCCCGAAGTTGCTAAAGCATATAACTGGAGGGACTGATTTATGATGAATTGTGAAATGAATGATATTGCAGTACCTGACTTCATATTTCTACATGACTGGACCATGCCACTTGCTGCATACCATGTCATCCTAGATAGCTGTCTTCTGCAGAGTTTCACAATAGCGTCAGCAGAAGGAAGCAGCAGAAAAAGGGGGGATGTCATCTGAAAAAAAGCTCCCTCTGCTTTGTAAGCAGTACCTGAGGTGCGTGCCGCAGCACGCACTGCTGTGGGAGCCCTTCGGTCTCAGTGCTGGGGTACAGCCAGCGTTGGGGGAACATACCAGGTGTTTCCTCCTTCAGCATCTGAGAAGAAGAGCAAAATCTATTAAGAAATCATTATAGGAACAGCATTTGGCAAAGCCAGTTAACTAGGTCACAGGCAAGAGAGCAGTGCTAGAGATTCCCTTGTAAAAGCTTTTCTGATGTCCGATGGGCTCTGAGAGCAGGCCCCCCACTTCTGCACCTACACATCTAACAGTCTCTGTGCTCCACTGTTTTGGGTCAGGCTTATCCCTGAGGGCAGACTGGAGGAGGTGTTATCCGTGAATGCGACGTGAACAGTCCAGCGCTGGCAGTGCCTGAATTAGCCTTGAGCAAAATGGAGCTGGGATGACTTAAAGGTTTAAAGATATCAGCAAAGGCCTCTTCTATGGTGTGAAACTTGGCAGTGACTCTACTGATGCAATGGCATCATAGGTGGTGAATTTGAGGAATGGGCATAGGTCCAGTGCAAATAGTCTCTCATTTAATTTGGTGTGCCTTGTGTAGCTCCATCCGAAACTGGAAGAGGTTTCGCTACATGCGTCAGTAGTGGGATCGGAATCAAGTGGCTTCTCAGATTTTGTTTGGAGAGGGAGGCTGAGGAGGTAATTACTGAGCTAAGTTCATTCCTGATTCACGCCAGCTGACGTAATCTGAAATAATGCTGGACGTAGCAGGTAGCTGGCACTTCTCTAGAGGGAAGGCTGACCCACAGTAGCACTTCTCACAGGGTGCAGAGGGCAGGAAAGGCCAGTGTTTCTGCTCCACAGATGGAGAAAGTGGAAAAGCAGGGGTGCTCAGGGCTCTGACATGGCAGACTCATGCTGGCCTGGAGGGAACCCAAGTCACCCTGAACTGAAAATCCTGCTTCCTACCCTCTCCTTCTGGGTGATCTTTTGATGTCTAACACGGAACATCTCCCTGGCAGGACGTATCACAACGTTTGTAGGAAATAAGCTTTTGAATCCACTGCACTTTCTTTTGATCAAAACTGGCCTGATCATTTTAAGAGCTCTAGCAGAGGGACATACCCACAATATGTGAAAGTCAATAAAACTAATTTCCTCAGAAACCTGTGCTGAAGACTGGGTCTTTCACCTTTAATGCTGCTGGGCTTTGGTGCTGCGTACTTCAGTCCCAGTGGAGAAAATCTAGCACTCTGCAAAAGGGTGGCTGATAATAGCTTGCAAAGTGATAGTCGTTTGATTCGAACATTTTTAACAATGATGACTCCTAGAGGCATGTGAATGAATTACAATCACATTGTCAGATTGAATAGCATGTGGTGGATTAAAGGGAGAGAGAAAAGTCTGCCGGTTCATCAGCTGCAGCACAGCTGACATATTTGGGATTTACTAGCAGCTTTTATTGGCAGGAGATTAGCAGAAGGGCCTGATTCCAATATGCCCTGTCTGCAGCAAGTCTTTACGCTATAGATGATGTCATTTCAAGACCTGGCAACAATTTATGGCCAAAGTGTGAGGTCTGAGGTGGACAAAATCATCTGAACATATTATCCTATTGCACCTGCTGCCAGTAAATCTTCTGTTCCTCTCCTTGCCAGCTGTTTCGGAAAATAAAAGCTAGCCAACATTTGCAGAGAGACCTGTAAGCAATGCAATAATGTTTCTCTCATAGTTTTTACAGTGACTTAGAGCAGGGGAGAATTCAGCAGTCAAGCTCAGGCTGGAGAAAGAGCAGCTGCTCCTTTTACTCTCTCCCTCCAAGACAATAAGCAATGCAGTTCTCCTTCAAAGCACTGATCTAGTTTGTTGATTGTCATTGGCTTGGCAGCACCCTGCCTTATTCCCACCAGCATGATGGGATTAATAGTAAGCAGTGGAGGGAATGGGAAAAAGGGTAGACAGAAGAGCAG